AGGGAGTTTGACGGACAACGCCTGCCGTTTTCCCCACATCACGTCGCAGATGATATACCCCCTCGTGCGCGTGGCGACCTCCAGAAAACTCTCCGTCGCCGAGCCCAACCGAGGGAAGCGCAACACCGTTTTGGTGGCCTTGTCAAACAGAAAAGCACTGCCTCCAACGAAGTACGCAACCATAGGGAGTTGCTCTGCGTCGTAGTGCAGCAGCTGGTAGAGGAGGTAGGAGCAGGCCGCCATCGACTTCCCGATCCCGGACGTCCCGGTCAAGACACGCCGCACAGGCACGGAGTTCGCTCCGCCGTGCGTGCCGAACGACCCGTCCAGGTCGCCCTTGACGATCTGCCACACCCGCTCCACCTCGGAGTAAATGTAGCAGTCGCGGATGCTTATCGCATTGCTCCACGCGTACGGCCATCCCCTCTCCGAGGTGAGCACGAGGAGCCTGGGGCGCGGTGGAGAGAATTGCGCCGCAGCGTCCTCCATTAGAACAGTTGCCCCCTCCACCTTCCACCCCCACGGCTCGGGCGGCTTGCCTTCCTTCGGCTCCATCCTCGCCCCCCCGCTGCCGTCGGGAACCTCCAAAACGTGACCCCACGTCGCATTGAGGATGGACTCGTAGAGGCCCTCCACCTTCTCCAACGTGACGCTCTCCACAGACGCCTCCGCCGCGGCGAGGGCCGCACGCAGCCCACTCCCCAGAAGAGGGGCGGCGTCAGCGGCGATTCCCTGCGTCTCCTCCGCGGACGCAGGCGGCTGCCCAAGGCTGCGGTCGACGCGAGCTGGGCGCTGCCTCCGCGGCGCATTAGTGGTGGGACGTTGCCTCTTCACACCAGCACGCGCCCCCGTTCGCTTTGCAGGCATTTTTTTGTAGTTGTTGTTGGCTTGAGCTGCAGCCGAGCACCAGCCAAAAGGACATTTAGAGAGGGAGAGGCAAAAAATAGGGGCAGAAAATAGGGGCAGACACGACCCCCACGTAGCCACATTCAGCAAACGAGAGAGAGAGAAGCCACCCGCAGCGCGCTGCCACCCCGCAAGGAAAGAGAGAGTGAGCCACAGCGTCCACGCCTCCCCCCCCCCTCCCTTTCTCTTCCTGTAGCGGAACTTCGCACAGCCGCGCACTGCGCTGCCTTCGCCACGTGCAACTTGGCGCCGCCGCAGTACCCCAAAAGCGCATTGCTTTATGCCTGTGTGTATGTGTATATTGCTCTGCGCACCCGCAGCGGCAGTGGGAGGGAGGACGGAGGGCGTGCCAGCACGCGCGCGCATACACACACGAGAGGGGTTTGGCGGGCGGGCCTGTGGGTGCAGCACATGCGCCCAGCCAGCAGGGAGGCGGGACCAACGTAGCAAATGGATAACAAAAGAGAAACTAAAAAATTAGGGGCCCAACCGAAATAAAATGCAAAAGGAAAAGAGGAAATTCCGAAGTTTGTTTCTCCATCGGCTGCGTGGATATGTTTCTTGCCCGTTTCAAAGAAGAAAAGAATAAAACGACTGCCGGGACGCAGACACACAATATCACGCACACCTCAGGTTTGCACCTCACGGTGGCCGCGGCCCCGTGCCTCATTACTATAATCCGCACAGCCAGGCGGCCGGCACCGCGTGTGTGTGAGGCAGCAGCAAAAAGGAGGGGAAAAGGGTGCGCCGCCCGTGAGAACGCGCGTAGCAGAAAAAAAGAAAAGAAAAGAAGAGAGACCATGGGGCACTTATTCTACCAGCACAACATCAAGAGTAACATAGAAGCAAGAGAACAAGGGGAGAAAAAAGGAAGAAAAAAAATGATTGAGGCCTCCTCGGATAGCAAATTAATTGGAAACCAAGCAGCGGGCGTGCTGCGACGGGTGCGGCAGACCCGCACCGACTCACATTCTGCAAAGAGCCGCAACGCCGCACAGCTCCAGCAACACAGCAGCAGCAGCACCTGCGGCACACGCCAATGCACAGCGGCGTCGCTCATTGAGCTCCGCGGCCTCGGGCCAGCGGTGCTCGCGGCATTAGCGACGCTGGCGGCGGACGCTGCACCGTCAGCACTCCCACCTCCCGCCTGCGTCGTGGGCGAGCTGCTGGCATCCGGCGGCGGGATGGCGACCTTGCCGGCTGCGAGTGCCCTGACATCGCCCTCCTCCAGCGGGCGGTTGTACAGCAGGACGTTGCTCACCGTCACGCGGTGGCCGTCCGCTGCAGCCTTCGCGCCGTCCCCGCCAACGTAGAAGTGCGACATCGTGCCCCTCTTCAACAGAGGGCCTTCAGAGTTCCTTTCGAAAATCTTTTCCCCGTCGACGTCCACACGCCAATTGCCGAGGTCACGCATTCGCAGCGCCACCTGGTACGTCTTGTCCTTCTCCCACGCACCGCCTGCCGCCTCCCGGCCCTTGCCGTTCACCGTCAGCGCCCACTTCTTGTCGCTCGTGTACGACAGGCCAAAGAGCACAGTGCCGTTTGCGTTACTCATCCTCGCGCCCATCGGCGGGAAGGGGGGGCCGTCCGCCCCCGGCACCGCGTGGATGGCCACCGTCGCCGCGAGCGTGAACTTGTTTCTGGCGAAGCCGTACAGCTGTTGCTTTCCCTGCTGCCCCACAGGCCACTCCGCCCCCGCTCCGGCGCCTCTGAACGTCACGCCGTTGGGGACCCTTCTCTCTCCCTGCGCCACCGTGGCGTTCACGCCGCGGTACTCGTCCACCCACGCGCTTTCCTGGAGGAAGGTTGGCACAAGCCTTTTGCGGGAGCGGGGCCGCCGCACACGCCTTTTGTCCGCGGCAAAGGCAAGGTT